ATTAAGTACTAAAAACCAACTAAAGCATGATGATTCTGGAGCTCCCCAGTGCAAAATTAAACCTGTTGTTGCATATTATCTCATGTCACTTGGTTGTTGGTCAGGAACAATGACTAACATTTAATCTAAGAAAAAAAAAAAGGTTAAATCAGGAATTTTATTTTAATAACAACACACACGGGGAGCAATGAGAACAAAGCAGTCTAATGACCGCCACTGTTACAAATATTCAGATATACAAAGTGAGCCAGTGACCTCTACAGGGCATGTTCGGCACACACAATCATACTAGATTCATTTGTGTACAGGGTTCCTACTAAAATGGCAAATGACAAATTAGTTGCTAAACACAATGCATAACTTCATTGCTATTCTTTTAAATTGTCTAACATATGAATTTAGTGAAAATCCATATCTTTTGGAGAGAGATGTTTTTCCCTGGCGGGCTGGATGGCCTCTTCTGGGCAGGTTAAGATGTGGGACCTTGGTGGCTGGGGTTAGCTGGTTTCTGGTTAGGTCCCTCCTTGAGCAGGTGTGGTTTGTACCCCCCTGGCCGTTTTGTCGTTTTTTAGTGGGTTGGTCCAAGTTAGAATGTCCGGTTCATGCCTTGGGTCCATTGGGAAAAGTGAGGCATTCAGGTGAGGGAACGTCTATTTCTGGATGCAGCTTGTCTCAGACCAGTTTGTCTTTTGCCTTTACTGTGTGTGTCTGCTGTCACTTGAATAGATGATTGGTGTTGCAGTGTGAGCCACTAGACTCATCTCCACACTCTAGACTGATTTTTGAGGTGGGTGCGGTGGATGCTGTCTCTGACCTTTGCTGAGTCCTGTTATTAGCTCATGCCAGCGTGAATAGCCTCCTAAGGGCACAGAGACTCAGAGGTGGGTAGTAAGGAGTTACATTTACTCCATTACATTTACTTGAGTAAGTTTTTGAAAAAAAATTACTTTTAAAGTACCTTTTTTGCACGATACTTTTTACTTTTACTTGAGTACATTTGTGAAGAAGAAACGGTACTTTTACTCTGCTACATTCGCAAAATTCGACTCGTTACTTTTTTAAAAAATAATTAGTTTAACACATTAGATAACATGCCACCAGTGGAGTTTCCGGTAACTTTTTTACCAATCAGATGTCACATGACCAGTTTGAAACTGTGGCGGGCAGAGCGGCTCAAGCGTTTCACAGTAGTGATGTGCGATACCACAGATTTCCTTTCCGATCCAATACCAAGTAATATTCAGGGTGGTATCGACGATACTGATCCGATACCGATACTTTGTACAAAAATGGATTTTATTTAATGTATCTCAAATTATAGCGTCATAATAATTACAGGACATCAGATTACTTGTTCTTATCACTTAATAATGCAGGGTTCAT